GTCCCAGAATTCCTTCCTCCATCAGCCCATAAAATAAATCACTAGTGTTGCTTTGTGTAGCTGCCTCATGGAAAGGATCTCCTATCATCACGGCCACTGAATGCACATGATAATTAGGAGTTGTCCCTTCTCTCCACCCTCTTGAGAGGGAAGGTAGAAGCCTTCTCTACTTCAGGAAGGGGGAAGGTTAACTTGAGTTGCCCAAAGTTATCCGGCAAGAGATTAGAACTGCGGTCTGAACTGGCTGTTTCCATAAACATCTGATAAGTGCCCTCAGAATCTCTCCCAATAGCTCATCCTGGGGATGGGCTCCCTCACACATGACCCTAAAAATCCAGTTACTTCCCCATGAGGACGATGCAGGAATAAGTACGGGAGACAAGACCCCCCCCCCCAATGCATGCTAAAAACAGTAGGTGAAGGGGACGCATAGTGTCAAAGGGTCTCCTCAGTCATATTTATCAATTACGACAGAACGAACAGTTCCTGTACAGCGGAGAAACCTGGCTGGCCCCACCTAACTCTATGGACTGAGTGTCTGTGTCCCGCCCGCCAATTCATACCCTGAAACCCTCACCCCCAAGGTGATGGCATCCAGAGATGGGGCCTTTGAGAGAGTGGGATTCTCCTAAGAAGNTTGGTATAATGTTCAATTCAGATGAGGCTGTAAATCAGCACCTTGTTCAGTTTTTCACAAATAAAGACAGGTCCTTCTATGAACGAGGAATTATGAAACTCATTGAAAGAGGGCCAAAGGTTATCGAACAAAATGGGCAATATATCATTGATTGATCTTTGTTCTTTAAATAAATAAATGACCTTTGAAAAACACAGACGAAATACATCATGACTTTTCTGATGACCCAATAGTACAGTGTCTGGCCAAAGCAGGGGCTTGGCAAATAAAGACTTGTTGAATGACTGAATGTCACAGTGTCTCTGGACCCCTCCCTGCTGGTTGTCTGAGGGGTGACAGGAACCTTCTCTTCCTTCAGCTCACATGAGGGACTTGGGGCTACAGAGGATGGTGTGACCAGTGGTTCAACCTATTGGGTTGCCAAGTGAGGGAACATTCTCCAGGAATATTCTTCCTCCAGGGAAAATTCCGTGACAGAAGGCCTATCTCGGTGCCTGCCCACGGCCTGCCCCCAGAGTTCCATGACACAGGTTCAAGCGACCAAGGAAACAATGACTTTTCTCAAGCTCCCAGCAGTGGCAACAGAGGAGCACATGCGAAATACCCGCTACCCAGCCTGCGGCTCATGCCCCTGGGTCCTTTCACACTGGCCCCGGGCTGGGTAACACATGGTGCTTCCCCAGCAATATGAGCCATGGATGGCTGATGGAGGGGCACTGCCGGCCGCTGCCCGCTCGCCTCCCACCCGGGAGAGCACAATGACATGCTTGGTGGGCACAGCTGTCGTACTGAACTCCCCAGGGCATCCAGGAGACGCCCTGACCTCACGAAGCCCTGGGTCTGCACGGTGCTGTGCGAGGACTTAGATCTGTGTCTCTTGCAGGAGATGGATGCAGAGCACATGACAGTGACAAGTGTATCTGACCTCATTGGAGCTGCCCTTGACATAGCGATCACTACCCCCAGTTCACACATGGGGAAACTCGAAGGTTTAGGAAGACACTGAGCAACTTGCCTAAGACAACAGCTCATAAAACGCCAGGCTGAATACCAGGCCGCCCGACTCCAGAGCCAGCATGGCTGGTGGTTATTATAATTACATCACAATCACTTAGCACTTTAATTTTCAGTGGCTTTCGCTTAATTTGAATCTCACAACAACCCTGTGTGGCAGAGAGTACAGAACGGAGGCCCTCGTCTTATAGGGGAGGAAACAGGCACTGAAAAGCTGAAAGCCATGGCTGGGAACTCTGCCTCTGGCTCTGGCCCCGGAACTGCTTCGCTGCCCCCTGGGAGATGGCCCCCCGCCAGCGCCTACACCCGTGTCTGGGAAACAGGCCAGGCGGCAGGCATGAGACTTACCTGAGTCCTGAGAGCAGCTGAAGCCAGTGTCCCCGGTGCTGCTGCTGTTCCCCAGGGGCTGTCCCGCTGCCATGAGCGCCGTGAGGTGCGGGGACAGGCCCAGGTCTGAAAGGCAAAGTCGGCACTGACTGCACAGTCGATGTCCTGCTCACATGCAACCACCTCCTGCTTCGTGTCCCCACCAGCCTCCCCTCTCCCTCGTTGTCCCCACGGGCCTCGCCTCCTGCTCTCCTGTCCTCTCTGTCCTTTCCAAACGTGCTCTCAACCCATCAAAAGGCAGGGAGCCCTTAGCCGCTGCCCCTTCCCACTTTGCCCTGTGTCCCTTCCCAGGGGAGTCTGCATGACAGGGTTCACTGGGTCCCCAAGAGAGGGAAACTCCCATGACAATGTCAAACCAACAAGGCAGGTGGAGAGACAAGAGTCGCTGAGCAGTCCTGGGAGGCCTTCAGTTAAATGTGCAAACACATTTACCTCCTAAAGTCCTACTTGAATACCAAAAATAATTTTTTTAAGAGGCTTAAACCCCACAGTGGGAGAGAATGTTTGTCAGCTGGAAGGTGGGTGAGGCAATGGAACCAACCCAAGAGAGAGCTGAGGCTGGCAGTGGGGGTCCTGGGAGAAGGCTGGTTCTCACCCAGGACCCCAAAAAGCTCAGGAAGTGGAGGCCAGGGAGTCTTTGCAGGCAGGTGGGGCTTGACTGGAAGCAGTGGGCCCCCAGTCCGGGCTCCAGGAACCCAGCCCGTGTTGGCAGGAGAGTCGAGGGAAGTGAACCAGGGGCCTGGCCTTTGAGCAGTGGACACAGCCCCGCAGACACAGAGAGGTGGGTGCCTGTGAAGTGGCCCAGCAGGACCAGCCAACTGCCCCACCAGCCAGGGCTCCCCAGTGCTGCCCAGGGCCTCGTTATTAACAATGAAGGGATGGCCATGATCACCAGACATTTAAGGAAAGACACTCGCTTGAAAGACACAGATGGAGGAGGGTGGGTAAAGAAGAAAGAAAAGAAAGAAAAAAAAGAAGACAACTGCAGGGAGCTTAAGAAAGCAACAACAAAAGAATTCTAACTGGTATCCTCATAAAGTTGAGGAAAGAATGAATCCATGAACAAAAGAGGCTATGGAAACCATGGAGGTAGCCAGAAGGTGCTCTGAGAAATTAAAAACATAGCATAAAAAAGTCAAGCTCCGCTCTCATGAGGCAGACAGACTGCCTGGTAGAGGTGATGACCTCCCATCAGGGACCGCCCACAGAGCACGCGGGTCGAAGAGAGCTCCAGTTCTTACTTTCATCCTGATTCTTCTGTGGGTACAGGTGATAAAACATTTCTTCTCCGGAGGCAAGGAGGACATGACAGTGGTGGCGAAGAGGGCAGGCTTCTCTAGAACTTCCCTTGTGTGACACTTGGGAATCGCACTCTTGCCAGGGGGCGTCCCCTTCCCTGGGGTAAGTGTGGACGGAACCAGTGAAGACCCCACACATGATCCCTCCCCTCCACGCTCTTGGCCCCAGAATATGAGTAGGTCTCAGCAGGAAGCCCACTCACTGCCAACTGGAAAGGCTGAGGCCGCAGCAGGGTTTGGATACCATCTCTGAGGCTGCGGTGAAAGCCAGGAGCAAGTGCTGGTCTCCACCAGCGGGAGCACTCATTCGAGCCAGACCACTGTGGCTCAGCAAGATCTGGAAACAGGGCGGCCAGGTGGCCTCTCTATTCTGTGTTTATCCAGCATCTGCCACTGGAGAGTGGGCGGCTACCCTGGGATGCGTCACATGAAACAACAGCATATCTACTGGGCTGGGCTCAGTGCAGCCTCCTTCCACGAAATTAAAAACAAAGGGCGGGGAGAGCATAAAGCGACAGGCCCCAGAGATCAGGTCAGAAGCCTGGGGCAGCTACGAGAGTCACTAGGCCCTTTAGAAGCTAAAAGAACAGGAGTGCCATTCGGACATGAAACAGACACTTTGAGGTAACCGGAAGACCTCTAGGTGGCACCAGCAAGGGAACTTGGAAAAGCAAGGTGGGGACATTCAAAGGATCCAGGGTCGCGCTTACCTCCCGCCAGCCCAGACCTCTCAAAGACGACCCTGGAGCGAGGCATGTCCTCTGAGTAAACATAAGTCAGTGTCCTTGTCCCCAGAAGATACCTGGAAAGGCTGTCCCCAGAAGTTTAAGCATCAGGTGACAGTGGCATTTGGAGAGGCCACAGTCCAAGCGCGGGGTGGGGCGGTACCTGGGCTCTCTGCCCTGGTGGATTGAAGGTCTGGGTCTGCTGGTGGGGGAGCTTCTGGCCCTTTCTCCTGGTGGCCCCTTCTTTGCTCTGACTGCCTGTGGCCACCTGTGAGCTTTGGGTTTGTGGACTAGCCCTCCGAGACCAAATGTGAGCATTTAGCTCCCCTTTCAGCACCAGCAGTCAGCGCCAACTCCAGGGTTGACCGATCCACTGTGAGGTGGCACTGCCCAGCAACCTCCAAATTCCTAGGGGAGCGCGTGGGAATCTGCTAACGAGACCTCATGAGCAGAAGGTCCCCTGTTGGCTCAGTGACAGCTGGCACCCAGGAAAAACCTAAGCTTTGGCACTTGTTCAGGTTGGGGCTAACGGAATGAGAAAGCCACAGTCCACTGACTGTGGCTGAAATCTATGTATGAAATAAACTTGACAATGTGTTTATAAAACTCCCAGCATCCGTGCGTCAGCTGGGAAGCTCCAGATATTTCTGGAATTCCACTCTGCCTTTGCTCATAAGCCCTATTAGGAAAGTTTATAATTCCATGTCCTGATTCCTTAGGTTACAACTTTGCAGGAGCCCATGCAAACGAAGAGGCTGGGGGCAGGGAAAGCGCCTTGGGGTTGAGGAGTCTGCTGCAGATCCAAGTCATGCCCACAGAGGGCGCTAGACCAGAGTCTGCTCAGCCTGGGCTCAGCCAGAGGGACCAGGGAGGTGAGGTGGAGGCAGGGGTTCCCCCTCCCCGTCAGAAAGGCAGCCGCGTTCCTGGCATGGATGGGGCAGGGTGCAGAGCTGGGGTGGGCCCTGCACTCTGCTCTCTTTCCAAGACTCTTGCTGACACTCTGGCCCCCTCTTGCAAACTTTTGGGGAAGAGACAAGAGGNATTTGGGATTTGTGGACCTTTGAGACATTTTAGGAAAGTCTGCAGTATGGGCAGAGGCTGGCCACTTATGAGAAACAGCCACTGAGAGGGTCGGCTGGTGGGCAAGATGTGTGGGATGAGGTCTGTGAGGGGTGATGGAGACACGTTGATGGAGACTTGGACTTGGCGCTCACCTGCGTCCGCAAGCTGGGTTGGGGAGGGCTCAACAAAGGAAAATGGCGCCCGCCAGCGCTTCCGCGTATGCCTGCCGCTTGTGTGAGGGAGGGGCTCAAAAAGGAACAGCGGTCCCTGGAAGCACTTCTGTCCCAGAATGAGCTGCCCCTCTAGTCCTTGTCTTGAAGCTAAACAATTCAGTTTCTCCCCGTTATGACCCTGGTGCTTTTTGAGCTGCTGTCTCTTTGCTGGTGCTTAGGGTGCTTGTGAGTGAGAGTCTGTGCACGGGCCCTTTAAGAAGATGCCTGGGTCTATAGCATTCCTCTCTCTCACCTGGATGGACTCCTCGCCAACACTGACAGCCAGATGTTATGGGACTCCTCTTCCTAGCGCTGGTGCTCAGGGGCTGGGAGCCTGGTGTGGGGCTGGGACCCTTCGCTCATCATGGGGGACATCTGCAGCCGAGATGTCCCTCCCAGTTCTTAACCACCACAGGTGAGTGTGGGATCAGCCCGTTTCATTTCTCTGCCCCTCCTACCCATCTCGACGCGGCTTCTTTATATCCTTAGTTATAAGACTTCGGTTCAGCCAGAGTTCAGGTGGTTCTCAGTGATGGTTGTTCTGTAGTTTAGTTGTAATTTTGATGTGGTTGCAGGAGGAGACGAGCACAGTGTTTACCTACTCTGCCATCGTGACCGGAAGTCTCTCACCATCTTTTAACAGCAGAATTATTGAGGTACAGTTCACATAACACACAACTCACCCATTTACAGTGCATGGGGCATCTGACCCCCCACACTGAGAGGCCCAGGGGGGCAGTTCACCACTGTATCTCTAGAACCTATTGGGTTGTTGGAAAAGTCATGACGCATATTTGCAACAGATAGCACTAGTTCATTTTTGGAAGCACTAGTCATTCACATCTATGCTGTTCCTATGTCATTTGACAGCTGACAGTTCTAGCTTCATTATAAAAAAAAATTGAGCGATTTGGTTGAGTTTTGGAGATTTTACAAGTTGAAGATGGGAGACCAAACTGTGCATTTTTGCCATATTTTACTGTTTTACTTCCC